TATAAGAAAAGCTCTAGGTGTTTGTGTAAGAGCAGAGGAAGCTGTTAAAAGGAAAGATGTTACAAGGTTGCAAAAACCGGCAGGAAATAGTAAAGGAGTTGGGTTTGCTGCTGAGTTTAAATGGGGTCAATAGGAGATTGAACTGAATTTAAGAAGAAGAAGAAAAAAAAAACATGGGCAAATAAATTGTTAGAGATTAAAATTGTAAAATTAGTAAGAGAGAAAAGAAACATTAAAGCTGTAGGTAATAAGGTCATTTGTTTAAGTATTTTAAAGCAACAAATTAAACTACATATAATGAAGTTGTAGTTTAACAAGAAAACTAGTAATAATTTTTATTAAAAAGCTTTAAAAACTTTAAAAGCTTTTCAAGCTTTTAGCTTATAAAGCTTTTCTTCTCAAAATTTGTTTTGAAATACACAAATATTTAAATGTTATTTTATAGCACAACAATAAAAAAGCCTAAACCTTTAAAAATAGCTAAAATTACTAAAAGCTTTTCAAAGCTTTTTCTAAATTATCGTTATAAATAAGCTTTTTTTCAAAATTTATATTAAATTACACAATTAATTAAATGTTATTTTATAACTCAACAATAAAAAAAGCCTTAAAAATTGCTAAAATTTCTAAAAGCTTTTCAAAGCTTTTTCTAAATTATCGTTATAAATAAGCTTTATCTACGTGAGTTTTTACTAGTTTAATAAAATATTGAAATACATACTTAAAGTACTAAAAACTCTTTGATATACTAAAAGCTTTAAAAAGCTTTTTTCAAAAAATCATTGTAAACTCTTTAAAACTACTTAAATTATATTTAATTTCCTTTAAATAAGTAAAAATGTTTTAAAAAGAATAAAATATGTAAAACTAACTAAACGCTATTTAAAGCTTTTTTCGAAAATCATTTAAAATATACAAAATCCCCATAATTTCACTTGTTTTTCAAAGAAATTTGTAAAAAAAAAACTAAAATTAAAGAAAATAAAGCTTAGAACTCAAAAAGCTTTCAGAAGCTTTTCATCATAAAAAACATTTTTTGTAATTTCTATTAGTTTTTTATAATTTATATTAAAATTTTCATAATTTCTAAGATTTTTGTTAATTTTTATTAGATATAGACCAAAAAAGCTTTCGAAAGCTTTTGCATTTTTTAACTATTTGTTGTAATTTCTATTTTGTTTTAAGAAATATTAGCAAATTTTAGTAATTTAATAAAATTAAAGCTTAAAACTTAAAAAGCTTTCAAAAGCTTTTTATGTTTAATAAAGCTTTTATATAAATTATGTAAAATTTTTGAAAATTATATTAAAATTTTCATAACTTTAATGAATTATGTTAATTTCTATTAAAAAAACTTTAAAAAGCTTAGAAAAAAAAAAGCTTTTAAAGATTAAAAAAGCTTTTTTTACTAATTATATGCTTTTTTCACAAATTTCATTAATATTGTTATAAATTTTATATTTTAAGCTAATTTCCCTTAGAATTGTGGCAAAGCTTTCATAAGCTTTTAAAGCTTTTTTTACAAATTATGTGCTTTTTTCATAAATTTCATTAATATTGTTATAAATTTAATGTTTTAAGCTAATTTTCCTTAGAAAAGTGGTAAAGCTTTCAAAAGCTTTTAAAGCTTAAAAAAGCTTTTTTACAAATTATGTTCTTTTTTATAAATTTCATAAATATTGTTATAAATTTCATGTTTTAAGCTAATTTTCCTTAGAATTGTGGCAAAGCTTTCAAAAGCTTTGATAAATTTTCGAAAAATTTTGTTGTTTTAATGATGTTTTTAAGTTTTTTTTAACAAGTTTTCCTTTTAAACTAGAATTTGGCTTTTTTTTATTAAGCTTTAAAAAACTGCGTAATTTAAAGCTGTTACCAAACTGTCTACCAAATGTGTTTTCATATTTATTAATTTTTTTTTTAGAATTTGTTTTATTTTAGGTTAAAAATCAATAAAAATTCTATTTAAAATTTAATGTTTTTTTGTTATTAAACAAAAATTTTTCAAATTTTCTTTTTATGGTTTATGAAACCTTGAAGAAATTATCAAGTCAAATTTTGTGGTGTTTGTTTTTTGTTGAATTTGTTGTTTGATTTTTTCCAATAGTACGTGTTTAGAGTTGTTTATTAACCACAAAATTTAACACTTACATGTTGTGTTGTGTTTTTTTTAATGACTAACCAGGCCTTTAAAAGTTATTGGTTAAAAATACAAAACTTTTTTTTTTGGATTTTTGAAAAGTTTTAATAAAGCGTGAAAATATTTATTTGCTAGAAATAATGAAAAAAAAAAAACAGAAAATTTCTGTATGCCAAGAAAAACTTTTTGTTGAGAAAGAAATATACTCCCTCCCTCCTTTTTTGGAATACAAATAAGTGTGTTTTTTTTTCTTTTAAGGGGGGAAATGAGTTTTCCTTTTTTTTTTCGTAAGGCATGATGTGGCAGCAGCAAAAAAATCGATAATATCAAATAAATATTACAGTTATATTTACCAGAAAAAAATAACTTTTTTTTGGTGGGTATTTTTTCAATTTTTTTCCTTTAACTTGCTGATGATGATACGTATGATACCAGCAGAGTAATTTATACCTCGAGTTATTGTTTATTAAAGTTTCTTGTGGGGTTTGGAGCAAAAAGGGGAGGGGGCGGTAGTCTAAGTTATGGTTTTATATTTAGTTAAGCTTCAACTTTATTACGTGCCAAATATTTTTTTTTAGATTTTTCTTTCTATTTTCCCCCTTTTGCGTGAACTGTAGAAAAGAAAACAAACGTAAGATACAAAACTTAAAACTATTTTTTATTTGCAAAGTGTTAGGACTGAGTGACATAAAATATATGCTATCATTTGGATTCATTTTTGTCTAGGGAGGGGGTGGTAAAAATAACAAATCACCTTTTTACTATATACCTTAAGTAAACAGAAGAGGGCGGGGGGAGGCGTTTAATTTTAAGAAAAAATATTAAAGCAATAACTCTTTTTTTTAGCTCAACAGACCAGTAAAAGACTGGAAAATAAGTTTCTTAAAAAGAATTTAAGCCTATTAAAAGCTTTCAAAAGCTTTTTCATAAATTTCTGTATTTTTCAAAAGTTCCTTTAAAATCTTTATAATTTCATAGAATTTTATTAATTTCTTTAAAGAAAACTACTCAAAGCTTTCGAAAGCTTTTATTTTTAACTTAAAACCTTTTAAATAATTCACTCTTTTAAATGAATTTCTTTTAATTATAACTATAAAATGAAAATATAGCAAAAAACTAAAAAAGCTTTTAAAAGCTTTTATGAGCTTTTGCCCAAATTTTGTTATTTTTTTAATTTCTATTAAAATCTTTATTATAACAAAGATTTTGGTTAATTTCTAATAGAAATGCTTAAAAGCTTTCGAAAGCTTTTAACTTTTTTCTTAATTTTTGTTAAATTTTAAGTGATATTTAAAAAGCTTTCAAAAGCTCAAAATGCTTTTCTCCAATTGTGTTTTTTTTTTAATTTCTATTAAAATCTTTATAACAAAGATTTTGTTAATTTCTAACAGAAATGCTTAAAAGCTTTGGCTTAAAAAGCTTTTTCATAATTTTTTCTTAATTTTTGTTAATTTTAAGTGATATTTAATCAATTATAGCAATACTAAGAAAATCTAGTCTAAAACTCAAAAGCTTTCAAAAGCCTAAAACAGCTTTTTTTTAAATTCCGTTATTTTTTTAAATTTTATTAAAATCTTCTTTATAACCATGATTTTTGTTAATTTCTAACATAAATGCTTAAAAGCTTTTAAAAGCTTATGGCTTACATAAGCCTACGAAAGCTTAAAAAAGCTTTTTCATAAATTTAATTACTTTTTTATAATTTTCATTAAATTTTTTATTATTTCAAAGATTTTTTGTTAATTTCTGTTAAAACAGGTTCAAAGCTTATAAAAGCTTTTGGTTTTTTCTAAATTTTTGTTAAAACTTTTATGAATTTTAGAAATTTTTTTAAGTAATTACAGCACAACTTTGAAAATGAGGCCTTAAACTACAAAAAACTTTTATAGCTTTAAAAAGCTTTTTCATAAATTCCATCGATATTTTACAATCTTCATTAAAATCTTTAATATTTTAAAGATTTTTCGTTAATTTATGTTTAGAATCCTTCAAATTTCAAACAAATTTCTTAGAAATGTATAAAAGCTTTTAAAAGCTTTTTTGTTTTTTTCTAAATCTTGTTAAAATTTTTACTTTTTTAGATATTTTAAGTAATTATAACAATATACAATGAAAAAAGCTAAAAATTAAAAAAGCTGTCAAAAGCTTTTGAAGCTTAAAAAAAGCTTTTTTTGAAATTCTGTTTATTTTTTATCATTTCCACTAAAATCTTTGTTATCATAAAGATTTTTGTTAATTTCTTTTTAAAATATTCTAAAGCTTTCAAAAGCTTATATCTAAATGTTTATTTAAAGTTTTCTTTAACATTGTTCTTGTAACCAAAGTTAAGTTGTTTTTTACGTTAAAATTTCATTTATTTTTTTAACAAAAAAAAAATATATATTTAATTTTTATTCCATTTTCCCAAAAAAAACAATCTTGGGCGACACGTTTTTAAATCTGCTACATAGATTTCTGGCTGCCTTTAGTCAAGATTTTGTTGTTGCAGCGGTATGAGTATCTGTCTATCTATCTCCGTATAAGAAGAGTTTGAAACGTGACAAAAATTTTTGTTCAAATAAGAATTTTGGTAGATATTTCTCGGATCTCTCACACATACTCACTACACATAACAACTGACTGACACTACAAAAGGCTAAGTACCAAAGCATTCAGAAGAGTTTATAGTTTGTCATCATCCTCAACATCTTTGTGGAGAGATGGAGAGAGTTTTTTTTATGACAAATTGTTGTCACAGAACATTCTTTAAATAATAAAAATATATTTTTTTTGCAAAAAAAGAAAGAAATCTAACGAAAATAATCAGCATCGTAAAAAAAGGGACAGAAAAAATGATAAGTAGTACATCAAAGAAATCCTTGAGAAGAAAAAAAAAGCTTTAAAATCTTGAATAATTTAAAAAGTCTAAGTGGGAACAATTTCAAATTCAATTTTAGATAATTTTGAAACTTGGCAAACAAAAATTCAAGTGTAAACAGTTTGTATTTAAACTCTTCCCAGCTTGAATTATATGAGAAAGGCTTAAAAGTGGGAACAGTTGGATATAAAACTGTTCCTAGTGGCTTTTTGCATTTAATTAAAGCAAAAACTACTAAATGTTAATGTGATACTATGTCATTTTAAAATTTCTGAAATTTTAACTAAATTTCAAGTGGGAACAGTTTATATTTTAACTGTTCCCAGTTAGAATTTCTAGGAAATATAAGAAATATTAAAAAACTAAATACGGGAGATGATAGAAAAACGATATATTTAAAAATTGCCAAAATTTGAAGTGGGAACAGTTGGGTTTCAAACTCTTCCCAGTGTCTTTTTACTAGAAAATTGAGAAAAATCTAGGGAATTTTTATCTGTTGCTAATCTACTTAAAAATTATTAACTTTTGGGTGCAATTTCAAGTGGGAACAGTTTATATTTCAACTGTTCCCAGTTGGAATTTCTAGGAAATATTAGAAATATTAAAAATCTGAATACGGAAGATGATAGGAAAACGTTTTATTTAAAAAATGCCAAAATTTGAAGTGGGAACAGTTGGGTTTCAAACTCTACCCAGTGGCTTTTTACAAGAAAATTAAGAAATAATTACAGAATTTTTATGTGTTGCTAATCTACTTCAAAATTAGTAACATTTGGGTGAAATTTCAAGTGGGAACAGTTTTCATTTCAACTGTTCCCAGTTGGAAATTCTAGGAAATAATAGAAATATTAAAAAACTAAATACGGGAAATGATAAAGTAACATTCTTTCTTAACAATTCCCCAAATTTGAAGTGGGAACAGTTGGGTTTCAAACTCTTCTCAGTGGCTTTTTACAAGAAAATTAAGAAAAAACTTGGGAATTTTTATGTGTTGCTAATCTACTTTAAAATTATTAACATTTGGTTCCAATTTTAAGTGGGAACAGTTTTCATTTAAACTGTTCCCAGTTAGAATTTCTAGGAAATAGTAGAAATATTAAAAAACTAATACGGGTGATGATAGAGCAACGTTCTCTTTTCAATTTCAAAATTTGAAGTGGGAACAGTTGGGTTTCAAACTCTTCCCAGTGGCTTTTTACAAGAAATTAAGAAAAAATTACAGAATTTTTATGTGTTGCTAATCTACTTCAAAACTTGTAACATTTTGTTACAATTTTAAGTGGGAACAGTTTTCTATTCAACTGTTCCCAGTTGGAATTTCAAGGAATTAATGAAAATATTAAAAAACTAAATACGGGAAATGATAGAGTGACGTTTTTTCTTAACAATTTCCAAATTTGAAGTGGGAACAGTTCGGTTTTCAAACTCTTCCCAGTGGCTTTTTATAAAAAAATTAAGAAAAAACTTGGGAATTTTTATTTGTTGCTAATTACTTCAAAATTAGTAACATTTTGTTACAATTTTAAGTGGGAACAGTTTTCATTTCAACTGTTCCCAGTTAAAATTTCAAGGAATTAATGAAAATATTAAAAAACCAAATAAGGGAAATGATAGAGAGTAACGCTTTTTCTTAACAATTCCCTAATTTAAAGTGGGAACAGTTGGGTTCAAACTCTTCCCAGTGGATTTTTACTAGAAAATGAAGAAAAAACTTGGAAATTTTTATCTGTTGCTAATCTACTTCAAAATTATTAACATTTGGGTCCGATTTCAAGTGGGAACAGTTTTCATTCCAACTGTTCCCAGTTGTGTTTTTAAGGAAATAATGAAAATTTTGTAAAATTATATCTATAAAATCATAAAGTCAAAGTTTTCTATGTAATAACAAGCAATTTTAAGTGACAACAGTTTAAGATAAAACTGTTCCCAAGTTGTATTTGCCTTATAAACCGGATTTTCTTCCAATATTTGTAAAATTTCTTACCAATTTTTAAGAGATTTTTGTTCAACATACCTGCAAAGAGAGAAAGATTAATACATAATTAGTTTTATTTGTTTTAATAATTAAAAAAACTAAATAGTTTTCTAAACAATTAATCATTTGTGTTGTTTTATAGAACAACAAATTGTTTATAAAAAGTTTTTTTCTGTTAAAAAAAAACCATGTCGTTATTTGTATAAAAAAATATATATATTTATTATTATCGCCACAGGAAATGAACATTGTAAACTAAATAATGCACAATTTATGATTAAAAATATAGAGAAAAAATTATAAAATTTAAAAAATTTAATTCAAGCAAATCGAATGGAAAAACTAAAGAAATTTTATAGGAATTTTTCAATATTTTTGGGGAATTTTTTTTTTTTTTTTTTCAATAAAATTTGTTTTGTAAAGGAAAATGGTTTTTAAATTGCAATTTAAATGGGTTTGTTTGTTAAGGTAACAGTTTTTGTTTGGATTAAGAGTTGATGTAAACTAAGTTTAACTTTTTTGAGGTTTAGATAACAGTTTGTTTTAGGGAGTTTATGTACCTAAACTAAGTTTAAGGTTTAATAATAATTAAACTAATTATTAATTAGTTTAAGTTTGTGTTTAACAGCTAGTTGAACTAAACCTAGTTTAAGTTTAAAAGTTAGTTAGTAAAGTTAACCCTTAGTTCTGTTCATTTTGCTACTCTACATCCTATTTTTTTGGGAGTTTAAATTTAGAAATTCAGAATTTGTTGCAGTTTTTCTTTTCTGCCAAAAAAAAAAATAACAATAAAAAATATAAATTTTATGGTTTTGTTGTAAAATAAAACCCCCAGCAGCTAAACTAGGTCACAAAGTCTATAAGCGAACAACAACAAAATTACAACAAAAAATATATAAAAAAAATTGTAATAAAATTGAATAATTTTTTTTTGTTAAAATCTTTATTAGAATGCAGTAGAACTCACTTCATCCTCTCCCCCTTTATAAAAGGGTGTAGAAAGTTAAAGTAAATGGTTGTTAAAGAGGGGGGAGGGGGGTTGAAGATGATATTTTAACTTAGGCATGATTTAACGTCTACATTAGAATACAAATACAAAATGACTGCAGTAAAAATTGAGCCATAAATCATTAATGGACTGCCAATGTAAACCAAACCAAAAAAAAAAGAGAATTTTTTTCCGAGCAGGAAAATGTTTTGGTAAAACCGAATCAATGATAAATTTATTATATTTTTAAGGAATTTTTCAGATTTTTAAACTAGGTTTAAGAATCTTTAATTTCAAAACTTTCCCCTTAACTAAAATTAATCCTTTTCTTTTGGCTTTTTAAAAGACAAACACATGTCCTTTTTTTTCTAACTTTTCTCTATACAAAAGAACCTTTAATTTTACTTTTTAACAAAGATTTTACAACAACAAAAGAAGCTAAAATCCTTAATACCTTAACAAAAGGCCAAAACAATACAAAAAAGTACTAAAATATTGATTGTTATAAGTCTATTTTTAATCTTTTAAATTTGTTTAAAAAGATTTTCTCTTAAAAACACACGCATACAAACACACACAAATCTCTTGACAATCTATTTGACTTTTCCTGGATAAAACCTTTTTTTTTTGGGAAACTCATAAATATGAAAAAAGGGTGGATTTATTACCTAAAAAATTAAAAGAAAAAAAACTAAGTTTAACACTTTCTTTTTGGCAGGAGGTGGTATAATTAATGTTGCAGTTAATTTTAATTATGACTAAAGGCGTTTAAACGAATTTAACCTGATTCAGTTAAATTAATTGTGATTTAATTGCTTATATTTACTTTCAAACTAACTTAAATAATATTTAAACCACTTTAATTATCTTAAACTTTCATTTGAAGCTAAAAAAAAACCCTTAAACTTACTTTAAACTTAGATTAGTTAACCAAGGTTTAAACAAGTTTTAGGTTATTTTCTTATAATTTAGTTAAAATTATATATGAATTCATTAATTTTATTTAGAAATTTTGTAAGTTTACTAAAACCAAGTTTATTTAAACTGCTTTTAAACAAGTTTAAGCTAAAATTTTTTCATAATTAAGTTCAAGGTTTAAGTCTATTAATTAAACCCAAAAAATTTTTTATATTCTTCAATAAAATTTTGAAAATTTTCCATTAAAAAATAATTTTTATAACTTTTAACTGAAAAATTTGTGCTTAAACTGTTGTTTTAAAGCTTAAACTATCATAAAATGACTTACACTTGCTTTAAACTTAGTTTAGTTAAACCAGGTTTAACCAAGTTTTATGTTATTTTCTTGTTAATATCCTAAATGGCAGGATGCAAGGGTAATATTTATACCTAAACCAGGGGAAACCTAGCTATTCCTCTTACGTCCTTCCTACTTAAAACCTTGGAACGGATAGTTGATAGTATGGTTAAAAGCAGTAAACCCGACAAAGACCTAAAATTTAAGCAGCATGCTTATGTAAAGGGACGATCGGAGGAAACCACGAAGTTGTCCACTACATAGGTGCATCCTTTGATAGCAAACTATATACACTGGCGGTATGAATTGACATCGAAGGCGCCTTCAATAACGTGCACACTGATACTCTTATCCAATGCCTAGACCAGTTTTATGTTAACCGGGTGCTCCGTAACTGGATCAACCACATGCTAAGGAACAGATGGATAAGCTGCAAGATGTACGATATAACTATCAGGAAAAAGGTATATCGTGGTATATCACAGGGTGGCATTTTGTCACCTTTACTCTGGGTTACCACGATTAATAGCCTCCTAAGGACCCTAAACGAGAAAGGACTTAGACCTGTCTGCTATGCAGACGATGTCGTAATACTTTTAAAGGGAAAAAGGATCCAAATTACTTGTGTAGAAGAGCTGAGGATGCTTTGAATACGGCCTTGAGCTGGGTTCAACCGAGAGGCCTCAATGTAAACCCGGCGAAGACGGAAATCTGTCTTTTCACAAGAAAGACAAAAATTTCTAAGTATACTGAACCTTGCTTCCCGGGCAAGAAGATACCAGTGACAGACAAAGTTAAGTACTTAGGTCTAATCCTCGACCGGAAATTAAAATGGAGACACCACATAGAGGATAGGATCAACAAGGCACATCGGTGCTGGGCGATATGTAGGAGAACTATAGGCATGAAATGGAGTCTTAGTCCTACTATGACAAATTGGCACAGAATATGTCGGAAATTTTGAAACGCTGATCCCAGATAAAATGTCTTGGTCAAGCGGAACTTTAGAACAAATACCAGTAGGAATCCGTTGTTACACGGATGGCTCTAAATTGGGGGACAAAGTGGGGCTGGGGTTCTATATTGAAGACCCAGAAATAGAAATATACCACCGTTTACCAAATCATAACACAAGCTTCCAGACAGAAGTACGAGCCATAACGGAATGTGTAAATTGGATTAGAATAAATATGGCGTCCACAGCGCTTAATATATTTACCGATAGCCAGAAGGCAATTAGGGCGATAGCAGGCGATAGAACTAAATCTAAGACCGTATTGGATTGTAAGAAAGCTTTAACTGAATACTCTCCCAGAGGTAAGGTTCACATCATATGGGTACCAGCCCACTGGGGAGTAGTCGGTAACGAAAGGGCGAATGTAATAGCTTTAAAGAGTAGGGAGCTCGAGGCAGTTAACCTGACAAATGCGAAACCATTCGACGCAACAAAAGCTGAACTAAAAATATGGGTAAGAGAATCCCATAAGGCCTCTTGGCATAATGAAACAGTGGGTAGGAACCACGAAGATCCTATGGGGTGACCCTGATGAGAGCAAGACGAAAAATCTCCTCAAAATTAGCAAGTCTGCAGTTAGTATGATGGTACGTATTCTGAGTGGACACACAGGATTACAAGCATTATCTGTGCAAAATTGGACGTGCGGATTCAGACAAATGTGGAGCATGTGGAGAGGACAGTGAAACTCTGGAGCACTTTCTTTGCCACTGCCAGGCATTCGTCGAAGTTAGATCCAAGTATCTTGGAAGTAATGTTATACCGGAAATAACATTTCTGACTAACGCTGATTGGAAGATTCTTAGGAATTACGTTCAGGAAACTGAGTTTATGAACACTGAAAAATAATTCATTCAGTTCCCTAGGCCCGATAGTTGCCTAGGTGTATTTCTTCAGATTTGATGTAGTATACATCCTCCTATCAACCAACCTACCTACCTAACTACTAATAAGTTAAAGTTATATATGAATTCAATAATTTTATTTTGATATCTTGAAAGTTTACTTAAACCGAGTTTAGTTAAACGGCTTTTAAGCGAATTTAAATAAATTTTTTTATGGATTCCTTAACTTAAGATTGTTAAGAGATTTTCTATATAAAAATTTTTAGCTAAACTTTTATTTTAACAATAAATTTATTTAAAAATAAGTTTTTTTTTTATTTTTTCTAAAATGTTATCTTCATATTTCCTTTTACTTAGCAACCCTAAGCAACAGCCTTAGCACCCTGTTTAAGTATTTTTCTTAAATATTAATGGCGCCATTTGTATAAGATTTTTTCTTGTTTTTTTTTTTTTTGTTCTTTTTCTAGAGATTAATTCCTGCATTTTTTTAGAAATAGGAATAAAAGAAATGTATATAAATTTTGTTTCAATCTACAATTTTTTTCTTATCACAGGAAATTCTTTTATACAAGCGTATTATGGCAACAACAACAACAACAGCAAAATAAGTAAAATTATTATGTATTTTTATTATTATTTTTATACATTTGAACCACATTTAGTTCAAATAATATCATTTTACAATTATATCCATTGAAAAGCAAACAAAACAAAGAAAAGCAAGAAATATACTTAAAAGGAAAAACCAAACAAGAAAACAATCTAGATAAAAAATTAAGCAAGAAAGAAAGAAAAATAGAAAAAAAAAGGAACAGGGAAAATGTTAGAAAGTAAAAGAAAGCCAGAAAACACAAACACACTTAAGACATTTAAATAACAAGAAGATACTTATAAAACAGAATCATCATAAAATTGTGAAAATAGTAAAAATCCATA